CAACAAGAAAGGAATGAAGTACTAGAAAGCAGAACGAAATACCCCACTGTTGAAGCAACGAAAATAAAGCAGGGGTTTATTTCCCTTTTTTCTCCCTTTTCCCTTGTTCCTGTTTCCAGTATGGAAAAAGTTTAAGCATGGAATGCCCTCTAGTGACGATTTAACTAGAGGAAATTGCTGCTCAGTAGTAGAAATACCCATGTGATTCACACTTTGAAAGAAAGCCAAATCAAACACTCTTCATTCAAATACAGACTTCTTTAAAAAAGGGATCAGTTTCAATTTATTTTTCAGAGGAGTAAGTGACAGCTATGGTTAGAGTTTTATTGTTCTTTTGGAATAAGCCATACCAAAAACAACAGACAGAGTTGAGCAAGTAATCTGATCATTCACACGAATGGGGAAACATGCAGAGCAACATAATTGTCATTACTAAACAACAGAAAATTGTCATTTCTGAACAATAGAAAATATAAACATATACTAGATGTAACAACTGTTCCTAAACTTAAACTCAGGCATATATTTGAGAAATCCTTAGACATTGGGTAGCATTGGGTAGCTCTGGGTTGCGGAGGAGGGTGCCACCATCTTGCCGCCTGGCAGGTTTCCGCGCCCCTCTCTGCTCCCCCCCCGCTGGCATCGGTGAGAGCAACGCCGGATTGGGGGGTGAGGCGCGCGCGCGGGCACCGGCTTAACCCACCGGATGCGGCCTGGGGCCGGTGGCCGAAGGGCAACGGTCAAAGGGCGGTTGCCGCCGTTTGTGGCCGTACGGGGCTGGGCTGGCGGGGGGCTAGGTCAGTGGGTGGAATTTTATATCGGGGGGGAGGTAGACGGGGAGTTTTATACTGTTTTAAAGTTTTATTGTATTTTAATTTGTTTTTATGGAGTTGTCCCTGGCCATGTTGATGGTTGAGTTACCTGGGGAGCGCATGGGCGCCACCATTGGGGTGGTCATGGGCAATGGACGGTACAGTGGTGTGAGTTTAACGTGTCCACGTAGAAGAAGGAGGGACAGATGGTTGACACCTATCCCTCCTTCTGGTTTTGCCCCCAGCCAGAGGGTTCCAGGTAGTCTGGTCAACCGCCCCTCGGGCCTGACGGTGCTGCTGCTTAATGCCAGGTCGGTCCACAATAAACCTTCCCTCATCCATGACTTGATTGTGGATGAGGGGGCCGACCTGGCTTGCATAACAGAGACCTGGGCGGGAGGGGGGGGGATGTCGCCCTCTTTCAAATGTGCCTGCCTGGGTATTTGGTTCAGCACCGTCCATGCCTGGAGGGGAAGGGGGGGTCGCTTTGGTTTACTGAGCCTCCATCTCCCTCACGGGACTTCCAGTCCCTTCGAGGCCAGGACTGGAGTGCCTCTACTTGGTGTTGGGTGACCGAGACAGATTGGGGATTCTGTTGGTGTACTGTGCACCCTTCTGCCCAACAGTCTCCCTGCCTGAGCTGACGGAGATCGTCTCGGACCTGGTATTGAGGACCCCCAGGACCAACATCCTGGGGGACTTCAATCTCCATGCCAAGACTGGTCCGACTGGGGCGGCTCAGGACTTCATGGCCTCCATGACAGCCATGGGGCTGCCTCAATATGTCACAGGTCCGACCCATGAACGTGGACACACTCTGGTCCTGGTTTTCTTGACAGGGCAGGAAGAGGGTGGTCTGAGGGTGAGGAATTTATGTCTGACACCTCTGTCATGGTCTGATCACTTCCTCGTGAGTTTTGTGCTCGAGAGCGACCTCTCCCTCTGTAAGGGCGCGGACCTGATTGTGTGGGTCCACCCCCAGAGCCAGATGGATCCGGACAGATTCCTGAAGGCCCTGGGGGAGTTTCCGGCTGACAAGACAGGTGCTCCTGTCGAGGCTCTGGTCGAACTGTGGAATGGGGAGATGACCAGGGCTATGGACACGATTGCTCCTAAGCGTCCTCTCCCACCGGGCAGAGCCCGCTCTTCCCCTTGGTATACACCTGAATTGCAGGCGATGAAGCAGGCCGGGAGACGGCTAGAACGTAGGTGGAGGAAATCACGGGATGAATCTGACCGAACACACTTGAGACCCCACTATCGGGCCTATGCTGTGGCGGTGAAGGCAGCGAAAAAGAAATTCTTCTCTGTTTCGATTGCCTCCTCAAAATGCCGTCCGGCGGAGCTTTTTCGGGTGGTACAAGGGCTGGTCCATCCTGGCCCTAAGAAAGATCTGGTTCCACCCTCGAAGGCCCGCTGTGACAACTTTGCCAAGCATTTCAGGGAGAAAATCGCTCAGATTCGTCACAAGCTAGACTCTACTAGTGATTCAGAGGCTTCTGGGGAGATACCAATGTTGCCATCTGGTCCAAAATTAATGGATGAATTTCAGTTATTGCGGCCTGATGATGTGGACAAGGTGCTTGGACGAGTGTGTCCCACCACTTGCCTATTGGACCCTTGCCCATCTTGGTTAATTAACAACGCCAAGCACGGAATTGGGACCTGGATCTTGGAAGTGGGTAATGCTTCTCTGAGGGAGGGTTGGGTACCTGCCCCTTTAAAGGAGGCGGCAGTCCGACCGGTCCTGAAGAAAGCGTCACTGGACCCAGAGATGGCCGCTGATTATAGACCAGTGGCCAACATCCCATTTCTGGGCAAGGTGTTGGAGCGGGTGGTGGCGGGACAACTCCAAGCTCTCTTGGATGAAACTGATTATCTGGACCCATTTCAGTCCGGCTTCAGACCCGGGTATGGTACTGAATCTGCCTTGGTCAACCTGTATGATGACCTGTGCAGGGAGAAGGACAGGGGGAGTGCGTCCCTGTTGGTTCTCCTGGACCTCGCAGCGGCTTTCGATACCGTCGACCATGGTGTCCTTCTGGATAGGCTAGCGGGATTGGGGGTCGGAGGCACTGCTTTGCAGTGGTTCCACTCCTATCTCAATGGCCGACTCCAGAAGGTGGTGCTGGGGGACTATGGCTCTGCGCCATGACAGCTATGCCATGGAGTTCCGCAGGGGTCCATTTTGTCCCCTTTGCTATTTAACATCTACATGAAACCGCTGGGAGAGGTCATCAGGAGGTGTGGGCTGCGGAATCACCAGTACGCTGATGATACCCAGCTCTATCTCTCGTTCTCCACCAATCCAGGTGAGGCAGTGGCTGTGCTGAACTGGTGCCTGGCCGAGGTAATGGGCTGGATGAGGGCCAGTAAACTGAAGCTCAATCCAGACAAGACGGAGGTCCTGTTGGTTGGCGGATCGGACTTCGGAGAGGGTGAATTGAGCTCAAGAAAAGTACAAAAATTTTGCAGGAGGAAAGCAAGCTTGTCCTAATGCTACATCCTCTTTAAAATGGTTTTTTCACAGGGCAGTGGACTTTTCTTGATGGATATATACAGCCATACGTAGGCTTCACTTTGAGATGTATTGGATGGTGGTATTGATTTTTATTATCCTTCTAGGTTTGACCCCTGAGGTGAACCAGTGTTTCCTAGTGGTTAGTGCAGGACAGGGACTTGGGATCTGGCTGTCGCTCAGTGATTTTGGGCCAGTTTTGGGTTTTCAGCCTAATTTACCTTCTAGGAGGATGAAGAGGATCGTTCCTTTTGAGAAACAGGTGGGATAACAATATAATGAATGTAATCTGGAGAAGCAAAGGGTCGCCCATCCTGATTTAACAGGCGATCCTATACATAGCTGCAAAGAAGCTTAGAGTCGCGATCCTATGCATTTAGACAGGAAAGGTCTTGCAACTCCCAGCCAGCCCAGCCCAAGAGTTAGGCATGATAGGCATGGTAGTCCCAGCCGTGATTTAAAAGACAATTCTCTGCAAATCTGCACATAAATTTAGGGTGCAGTTGTCAGAATCCCAGAATCTCAATTTGAGAAGAGGGAATAAAACTTGGGTTCGTGGGAAAGACCAAGCGTCCAGACCATCTGAGGCTTTATTGTTTTACCCCAAGGTTCCCACGGTACACTCACAATAATGCAGGCTGCATTACCGGGCAGGCAGAGATGAACCCTGCTGCAAAGCTTCAATACCATTACAGGGCGTTTATAGGTACACAGGTACAGGGCAATTGATGACAGAATGCAGAGACTACAATAAGATTCTGAGGTCTTCACATACAGAACAGATAAAGAAATGTCAGTCAATCACACTGTAACAATGAGATTACAATATTTCTAATTGTCTGTATTGACACTTTAGTTGAGTAACTTGAACCCATCTCCAGGTCTGCTCAGACATGCAAATTCAAGCTACTAGAAACGATTCATGATGCTCAGACCCTTATCTCGACTCTCAACACTCTGCATGATCAGGGCACATGAAAATGCAAAGGCACACAGGAATAATGCTTTTCAGACAGGATTTACCCAAATGTTCCCAACACATTGAAGCAGGAGTTGGACTTTTTCTCTGTCTAAGCATGCATGCGATTGCACCAGAAGTGTCACCGATTTTTAGTAACATTTGCTCCCGGGAAGGTGGCTCAGAGCTGCGGCTCGACAGTTTCAGATTTAAGCACAAACTAATGCGGGAGTATTTTAGAAATGGGGCGCCGGAAGCAACAAAAGCGGGGAACGGCTCGCCCCCACCTCCCAAGCCCCGCCCCCGGCCCCTCCCCCTCCTCCCAGGCCCCTCCCCGCCGCCGGGACATAACCGAGCCGACTTCCGGGGCAGGCCGTACCAGCAGATGATCGAGCTCATCGAGCGCCGGCGCAACCACGGCCCTGTGCGCGCGTGCGCGCAGCGTCAGTTCCCTCCGAGGGACTCCTTCCCTCAAGGGGGCAATGTCACAGGAGCTGTTTGCCCGGACGTCGCTCGGCGCCTTGACGTCGGAGTGCGCACGCGCACCATTCTGGGCGGGCACACTCCCCGCGTCCTTCCGCTGGCCATAAGCCCCGCCTCCCGTTTCTCCCCGAGCGGCACTGCGCATGGGCGGCTTCGCTCCCTCCCTCGCCGCGGAGTTGCCTCTGCCGCCCTTTGGCTTCCCAGCGCGCCGCGCCGCCTCCTTTCGCCCGGCCCGCGGCGCATGCGCCGTCTCTCCTTCCCGCTCCGCTCTTCCCCCACCTCGTCCGTCTGTCCGTCCCCCGGCGCTGGGGGCAGCCCGGGCTTCCCGCTTCCGGTGTGGTGTCATGGTGGCCTGAGGGCGCCGATGGCTGAGGAGGAGGAGGAGGGCGAAAGCTGAGCGTCGCGCCGGATCGCGCCGAGGGGAAGGGGGCGTCGGACCCCGGCCCGCGTTCATCGCCCGCCTGGGCGGCGGGACATGGCGGCCCACAAGCCGGTGGAGTGGGTGCAGGCCGTGGTGAACCGCTTCGACGAGCAGGTAGCGGCCGGGGGGGCCCGCTGGGGGGGGCGGCGGCCTGCGGGGGGGTCCCGTCGGAGGCGAGGCGTGGGGAGGACGCGTCCGTGCCGAGGGGGCGGGGGGCGCGCCCCCTTCCCTCCCCGGGGCTGCGGGAGCGTGTGTGGGTTGCCTGCCTGGCTGGGGAGGATGGGAAGCGGCTGAACGGTGCCTCGTGGATCCGTGGGGCGAGGGGAGTCCTGCATATGTGGAGCATTTCTGTTCTCTGGCGTGGAGTCATGGGCTGCTGGCAGAGCCTTTCTCCACCTCGTTTAGCCCCACAACAGCCCTGCGAGGTGGGCTGGGCTGGGCTGGGCTGAGCGGCCGTGGCCATGGCCATGGCCGGCCCGGGGAGCTTCGTGGCTTTCGGACCTGGCTGGTCCAGGCTGCCTGGACCTGGTGCTCCCCAGCTGTTCTTCTCTTCTGCGGACGTGCTGCCTCTTGCAAGGCACCCAAGGCGACTTGTGGGGCAATTGTCCGTTTCTCTGTGTAGCTTTTGCAGTCAGAGATTGGTCCCCAGCAATTCAGAGCGTTTGTGCCCGAGGGGGACTTGACCCCAGGTCTGCCCTGCCCTGCCCCAATCTAATGCTCTAACCACTCTGCCAGTCTGGTGTCCCTGCTGAGGTTTCCTTCTTCTTGAGCGGGCTCCTTGGTTTGGGCAATGCGTGTATATCTCCGAAGGAATTGGAGTGCCTGGCCTCTGGGAGTTTGCTGTTTGTGTGCACACTTTGTGGTTTCCTGTGAGGAGGAGGGTGAGACTCTTACTAGTATTAATATTTCATTTTTTGCATTTTTGGACTGCCCAGTAGCCAAAGCTTTCTGGGTAGACTGTAAAGATAAAAGCCTTAAAAGTACATTATTAAAACCATACGCACACATCAGTGTTATAACAAATGTATGCAGTCTTTTTCATTGTAAAAAGCCTTGAAAGAACCGACACACACAAATCCAGAAATCCATAATGAATGTAACAGGTTCCCCCCAATTCTACCTGGAATTAGTATATTTGCTTTGTGGTTTAGGGACTTCCTTCCTTTTTATTGGTTTATGTGTGTGTGTGTTTGAAAGAGAGAGAGAGGATGAAAAGCAGCTGAATAAGGTCTTGCATTTCAGTTTTTGAGGGCGACTTACTCCATTTCTTCATGCTTCCTGTGGGTTTATTGGAATTGTTCACTTTTCCCTTAGGGTTAGGCCAGTAGCTGTCACCTTCGGATCTGGGATGGAGGGGAAAAGTTGGACCAGTCGGATTTCATTCCAGCTGAATTTGCTGACTGGATTTTGGGGTGAGAGGAGCTGGAGACTGCTTGAAGGTTTTTGGTGGGGTGAAGGAAGGGGGTGCACAGCCTGTAGGGGTGAATTGTCTGTTGTTGGACTTACATGAAATATAACCTGGCTTAGGGGCATCTCCCCCCTTTTATTAGCTGGTGTGAAGGTTTTTTTTAATTGGGGAGGAGATGAAATATCACTGGACATTGTGCATTTCAAGGGGGTGATTCCACATTTTCCTACCCCCATCTGTCCTGTGAAAGATACTCTGGAGTGTTTTGCTGTAAGAGTGCCAGTGGTGAAAGAAAGCAGAGATCTAGTTGGGTCTTATTCCAGAAAAGCCAAGAATGGGCTTTGTGGGTATTGGAGAGGGGTGATAATTGGGTAATTTCTTACAGCTTGTCTCTGTGGGGAACAGTTCTAGAGAAGCCTTTTTCGCCTCTTACTAGAAAGGGCTTTGTGGCATCTTGAAGCGTCTTCACTGCTTAAATGGGAGTAAGCGCTTGCTCATTCATTGGCAGTTACTGCTGAGAATTGCCTTTTAAATCAGGCTGCGAGCCCAATGGTTTGCTTTTCTGGACCAAAGTGCCCATCGTGGAATTGACAAAGTGGCCCCTAGTTTTGGAAAGCTTCTGCACAGTAAGTCTATCAGCCTTCAAGGTTCTGCAAGATTTTTGGGCAGCGATCCTATGGTGGCTTAAAAAGAGAAAAGGGCCTACAACTCCCAGCGTGCCCCTGACTTACATCTTTAGTTGTTCCTGGGGGATGAGTCCCCTGAGGATTTTGAAGGATTGCTGCAGTTCTTTCCTCATGAAGTTGTGTGAGATGGCAGCAGCCGGACTGGTTGGCTTCTGCTCTGTGTGAGTTGGACTTTGAGTGTATGGAAATTGTAGGAACATAGGATATTGTCTTATCCTGAATCATGCAGTTGATGCATCCAACCCAAAACCGAGTGCCAGCAGTTCTCCAGGGTTTCTTTCCTAGCCCTGCCTGGAGATGCCAGTTCTGCACTACTGTGACCTTTTGAGAAGAAACTAGGAGACAGGCATTTGAAGACAGCACGGCCACTGGGGGCTTGTTAGTGGAGAACAGAAAGGAGCTGGCCATTCTGAACCCCCCCCCCCCCGGGAGAAATGTGTAGGAGAACTGTCACATAATCCTTTTGTGCTTGGAATATGTAATACTGCGGCTTGCAAACTTGGGAGGGGGTTGGGGGGTTAAGAGAAGGGAAAGCAGTGGCCCTTGTGGGATGTGGAAATTGGGAGCCCTATGAAATGAAGGCAGCTGTCAATAGGTACGGGCTCCATCCTTCTGCCATGTGATGGGCTGTGCGGGAGAAAATGAGGCGTTGAGTGCTTGGAGTGGGATTTGGAGCAACAGGTGAATGTACTGTGGATCGCTGGAGGAGTCCGGTGAATGTGCCACTTGCGTGATTGGGGAATAGAGTCCTTTTCTAAGAAGAACTTGGGGGTGGGGTGGTTCAGCATCTGGGGCTTGCTCCTTGTGGAGTAGAACTTGGAGCAGGGATTTAAATGGACTTGCTGACCTGAGAGAGGCCTTTCAGGGGCATTTAATTTTTAAAAAGGTAGCTTTTGAAAGTGATCTCTGGTTTTCTGGATAGAAGCAAGAACTAGTTCTGAACCTTGGGCTGTCAAACTTTAGAAGATGTCTTATATGGAAAATAGGTGTTTTCTATTCTCTACTTTTCCCAGTGCCTTTTGACAGCTCAGGATATGTTACTGCAATGGATGGCTCTGTATAATATAGTTGGGCAGAATTTGGGCTGGCCAGATCTGCTATGTTTTTACCAGAACCACCAACTAGATCAACAACTGAAGCCAGGTGCAAAAGACCAACACTTGCAATTAAACAATGCTCCTACCTAGGTATTAGTTTTAGGATCAGGCCTCAATGACAACCTCCACACACAGCTTGGTTCCTGGATGCTTCTCAATTTTCTTCATTTCAGCAACATAATTTAGAGCCAGAAAGGGGCCAGTCATTGTCGCTGCTGTTGTTAAATCACCTGGGAGTCAGTTATCCTCAATCATCTATTGCAGATCACCTCGCACTCTACCAGTGACTTCAGGTATGCCCACCTTCAGTGTAGGAACAGGTTAAGCTGTTACCTTAGGCAAAAGAACAGATTGTGTTAGCAACCTTAGTGTACAGAAACAGCAAAGGAGGATGTCTCTCTGTGCAAATCATGGTGAGACTATATTTTACATTTATTTTAAAACTTCATGCACAGGTTTGTTTAAAAATGAATCTGCCCTTTTCATTGCCCCCCCCCCCCATAAGTACTTGACTCCGGGGGATGGTGGAGGACAGGAAGGCCTGGAGGAATGTTGTCCATGGGGTCGCAATGGGTCGGACACGACTTCGCGACTAACAACAACAAGTACTTGAAGTGCCACATAGTATATAAAGGCACATAACTGAGCATGCTGGAAAAGTTGGTTAATCTTTTGAATCGTTTACTTTTACTGATGAGAAAAGTGATGATATTTTTTCCTTTATGATATTCAGTGTCTCTCTGTGTGTGAGGGAGAGGGAGGGAGGGAGGGTGGGGGGAAAAAGAGAAGGTACTAAGAAAGGATGTGGGCACCAGTGCAGGATGAACCATATTTATTCATTGTGCCTAGCGCAGGATTTGTAACAGAGTGCATAGAAAAACTTTGCTTTGTGTTCATGATGGGTTGGATCCAGCTTTAGTCATACTTAGAGTAGACCCCTTGAATTCAATTAGACTTAAGTTAGTCATGTCTAACGTGGTCCAATTATTTAAATGGGTCTAATTCAAAGCATGACTAAGTCCGTATTTCTCTGTCATCCTATAACTTTAATTTTCTGGATGACGTATACAATTTTTGGACAAAGAATGTATTCAGTGCACAGTGAGCTGAATATATTAATTTTAATGCCTCTTAGAAGTTTTGCAGTTTTTCTTTTTCATATGTGTGTGAAAATGCCTTAAGATTTATCATGTGCTATCTTGTAGTGCTGTGCTTATTGGGAGTAAGGCAGTAAAATACCCCCCCCCAGCAAAAACTGCCCCCTTTAATAGAAATTTGGAAAAGTATGACTTCTATGACAAGCCAGGCATCCTGAAATTCATACACTATCCAATGTGTAGGAGCCCTGTCACCTTTGGCACCTGATTACTCTAAGGGAATTAAGAATTTCAGGGATTTAAATTTTCTTTGTAGCACATATTCAGAAAAAAAAATCAACTTGAAAAAAGAGAGACTTCTAATAATGCATAACTGGCAGGAAAAATTAAATTCCTCTGAAGTACTTTTGTATTATTTAGGTCTGCAATAGCCATTCTTCAGCCAATGTTCTATATCTACAAGGACAAGTTCAGGGACTATTACTGATTTCTCCTTAGAGAAGTTGTTGAAAACTTGGTAGTATAAAAGTTTGTTTTCCCTTGATTTTAAAAGGAGTTCTATGAAAATGTGTTTCGGTTAGTACTAAGAACAGCAAAGTTCTTATTGATAAACTTACTAAAATATAGAAAAACAGGTGTCTCCTTCCATTCTCATTAATTGTTAAACTGTCTGCTATTTCAATTACTATAGAGTTGGAATGCAAAGTTCCAGAGACCCAACTTGAAATAACTTATCTGCCTAAGACACCCTATGCCCTGGTTTGGCATGAACATTCCCTTTTAGCCTTAGTTGGCAATATGTTAAAAAGAGAAATAATTATGGCTA